GAAATGAATCGGTTCTTTTCAATTCGGGCATAGAGTAACGCTGTTTATGAATGCAGTGTTAAATATCAATCTAGGGTTCAAAATGTGTTACCGTCATATATTCTCAATATTCATAAAAACTCGTTTTTCCAAAAACGACGATATGTTGATAATAAGGAGAGTTGTTTTTCGTCCTACACACACAAATTCAATGAAATAATAGTAATATCACGAATGCGTACAACGCAAATTGATACAAACTCATTTTCTGTAACTAAAAATAAAACAAAATAGGAAGAAAAATGAAAACGATAACGTCACCGACATCCAAAATGAGTTTTTGAGTAACTAAAGCATAAAATGCAAAATAATTTCATTTTTCCCAATTTAGCTCATTTTACGTTCTAAGTAAATGCTATAAAACTACTCATTCCTAAAATATAGACATATCTGTTATATATTAGATAGAAAATAAAAGAGAGTAGAAAGAGTCAATCCAGTTGTGAGTATTTTATTGAGAAGCACTATATTTGTATATCTGAATTAAGATTGCAGTACAGTATGTAGAAGTACAATAACCGTAATAATTAGGAATATAGGGATACGATAGTCATTTAATATTTAATTTACAACACTTCTTCTTGAATAATTTATTACACAATATTTGCCCTCATTAAAAACTTTGTTTGGTGAAAATACAGTGAAACAAAAATATCAAATGAAGAAAAAAAGAGTGCAATTATTTTTGGAGTATTAAAATAAATATTGTCTCATTAAAACCTTGTCATAAAATTCAATAGAATAAAACCCGAGTCAATGTAAAGAGAAGAGCTACTCTCCCTAATATTAATCATCGAAAATCTTTGAATCGATACATTCATATGTCGTGTATTAATTTCTTGAATGTAAACGTTGCCTTTATGTATAAGTGAATGACATTATCTTTTTAAGTGAATTCATTGATCATATATGCCCAATCCGTTATTTTATGTATTGTCCACTTTGGGAGAGTTTAAGCTATTTTATCCCTCATGGCTTTCTCTCACATCCCCTAAAATTCAAACTCAAAACCTCTACTTTATAAGAGACTTAAGTTGAATTGCAATAATTTTAGAATGATTTAAAGTTGTTAAATCAAACTTTGTTGTACTGATCTTCATAATCTAGTTATTCCTTCACATGTAAATACATATCTTATTTGTGATTTAGATTTGTGTGGTTCATAAAAATAATTTACATCTACATATCCAAGTAAAGAAGAGTCAATTTTTTGTGAATAAAATACTCCAACGTCATTAGCACCTATTGGATAATGAAGAATGTGCTTAACATCATTTCAATGTCTTTGAGTGAGTGTAGAGCTACCTCTAACAATCAGATTAATAGAAAAAACTATGTTTGGTCGAGTGTAATTTGCAATATACATTAATGATCAAATATCACTTAGGTATGGTATTCCAAGATCAAGAATATTTTTCCTATTTTCAAGTGAACAAGCCGTATCGTTTTTCACATCAAGTATGGTTGTTCAATTGTTAGTTGATGTATTTTATCCATATAAAAATGATTTAATACTTTTTTATATAAAGATTTATGAACATATAATCATTCTGTGAAATATTCATTTTGCAACTCTAGACAAAATTTTGTTTTTCCCAAATATTTCATCTTAAACTCATTTTTTAAGTAATTTTCAATTATTATTATTATTATTATTATTATTATTATTATTATTATTATTATTATTATTATTATTATTATTATTATTATTTTGAGATCTTTACTCCTATTAGATTTATATTATCAACATGAAATGACACAATTGTAAATCAAATATTTGATTTCTTTATAAAAATACATGAGGCAAATGTCATCATTGTACAATTCACCTTCAACAAATATTTCCTAAGGCGATTATACCATGTGCATATAGATTATTTTAATCAGATAATTATGTTTGCAATTTTGTTAAACATATATTTTTGGGGAATGAATCATTTGCTCTTGCCACTTCAATCTTTAAAAAGCTTTCATGTATATGTTACTATTATACAGATGCCTTACTATATCTATAAGGCACATATCGAATCATTCTAAGACGTGCAAATTATTCAAATGTCAAAGTGCAATGATGCCCATCACAAGAAAATAGTTTCTCTCTCTTTGAAATTCTTCAGAGATTTTTTAACATATTCTTGTTGAAATTTGTATATTCAATGTATTTATTTGATGAAATACTTGCTTCTTTGAGTTGAGATGAAATTCTCCCCAAAAACATTTGATGCTTTGTGCTAAAGATGGTTGAAAATAAATGCATCCTTATAGATGTTCGATAAATTGTGCTAAAGGAACTTTCGAAGATTTTCATGCCAGATTTATGTTTTGGTTGAGCCATTGTCGTATGATTCATACCATGAATTTGTTTACTCTAACCATAATTGCATTTAGGTAAAATAAAAAAAAAAAAAAAATCAAACTTGATTGAATTGGAATGCAATATCCTTATAATTGTTTGATGTTTTGTAGCAAAGAAGCAATTAAGACTACTAGAAATATGTCAAAGTGATTCAATTCAGTTAATTGAGTTAACATACAATATCCTTGTAAGTATTTTATGTTTCGTGTCAAAGAAGGCATTTAGACTATATGCAATATGTTGATGTTATTCGAGACTTGATTAATTGAGTTTTTTGGTATCAAATAAGGCATTTAGACTACACGCAATATGGTGATGCTATTCAAGACTTGATTAATTGAGTTGAGATACAATACCCTTGTAAGTGTTTGATGTTTTGCAATAAAGAAGCTATTTAGACTACATGTAATGTATGTTTATGTGATTCAACTTAGTTAATTGAGTTGAGATATGGTATCCTTATAAGTATTTGATGTTTTAAATCAAGGAAGATATTAAGACTACAAGACCCTTATAAGTGTTTGATGTTTTGAGGCAAATAAGCTATTTAGACTTTATGCAATGTGTCTACGTGATTCAAGATTTGATTAATTGAGTCGAGATATAATATAAGTTTTATGAAATTATTATCATTAATTTTTTTCTTAAAATAATAAATATGGAGAGACAATTTATTTTTTTCTTGAACATAATAAACATCAATGATTTATTATTTCAAATAATAAAAATGTGCTTAATAAAAATATAAGACAATCAAATTGAATGTTTACTTTATTTACAAAATGACTTCAATATTTAAATGTGATAATACTGAGTCAGTGTCACCACAAGTTGCATCTCGAATCATCATGTCATCATCCTCTGAAAATAAAGAGTGATAGCATGGAATGAACAACCGCTCAGTAAGCACATATCATACATATCATAAGTATAATGCATACTTATGATATGTATATGAATTATTTTAAAATAAAAAGTATTTCTCAATATTTATCCCATTTTCTTCAATTTCTTTAAAAACTTAACGTTAACATTATAAGCTCACTTCGTGCATCATCAAGCAAATAAGAATGTAGTAGACAATTATTATTTAGAACCCAGTTCGTACCATTGATAGTTCCACAAAGGGATTATTCTAATATTATCATTGAATATTGGTTGGGTGCATTTGTCTACCACATTCCATTTTCTGCTCATACCTTTTATGGCATAAACATAAACCTCTTAACAAAATATTCAAGGTACATATCTTTAAAAATATTTTTTTAACTCATGACATTTGGAAACTTTTCATTCCTTGAAACTTCATATATGCTTATGAATGCATTGATGTGTATGAATATGTCATGAGAATCATCAATGAAATAAAACGTAATAATCAAATATCAAGTTCATATAATAATAAATTTAGTTAACACATTTATATATTCAACAATATAACATGCGCATGAAGACAAGGGAATGCGTACTTACTTGAAATCATTAGTAATTCCCCCATAGATCTACGTGCCATTATCATAGATAACTACCAATCATTTAAAAATTTCAAAAATATTCATTCTTGATAATCAATCTTTATTAGATTAAGATAAAATAGATATTGACATTAGGACCGAACATATAAAATAGAAAATGCTCATAATCATATAGAGATTTAAAAGTGGAACTTAATTGCCAAAATTACTTTCAACCCAGAATGATGCTTTCTATTATTATTATTATTATTATTATTATTATTATTATTATTATTATTATTACTACTACTACTA